CTTGAGGTGCAAAATGCTGTTTACTAGAAATGAGTTCCATTCAGATCAGCATACCGGGGGGAAAATAGGGGCGGCATTGGGCCAAATCCAAGGTTCGTTGATATCCAAGGAATCTCCTGTGCTAGTAAACGCCGCGGAAAATTTTTTTTATTTGTGCGTGTTGCCCTATAAAAAGACATTCATAAAGTACAGCAACCATTAATTATGTCTGTTCACAGAACGGAAAATATTTTTTTTGCGTTCATGAAATTGAGGTAAGTGTACCAATAAGATCACATATTATTGTGGGGAAAGGAGATGCGAAGTCAGTTTACAAAATTTTATTTTGCAAAGCTTTTACGTTTTGTGCCATAAAGATAAGTAATAAACTTACGGGACCCCAACTTGTTTTACAACGCTGAAATACTCCCCGTAATTGACTGTATATGAAATTTCGCGAAATGTCCCAAGTTTTCTCTGTAACACCGTAAACGAACCCCATTCAAGCATTTTCAATATGTAGCAGAGAATCAATGAAGATAAAAAATGTAAACGGAACAGGCAGAAGACTATTATGTTTGAAAATATCGAAGGGTATACTCTGTCACCCTATTGTGAATTTTCAACAAACAACAGCGCCTAGAAGTAAAAAAATATACTGAAAACTGCTCCGGTATACATAGGAAAGTGAGTAATTCAATTTTCAGCAAAAGATTTATCCCTATTTTTAGGGAAGTCAAAAAACCGGTCAGCATTTGCCATTTCAGTCTTGACTTGATCTTCAAAAAGGTAAAATACACAGATATTCAACGTCGAAATATATAATTAGAGGGCCTTTTCGAGAGGTAACTTGTTATAGGAAGTTTTCTAATTAATCTTAGGCGCATTCATTTGCGACGTTTGTTGTAGACGTTCTCTTTTTCTTCTCGGCAATGTGTTGACACGTTTGGGATGCTTACTTTTATACATTATGACTCTTGGGCACGTAGCTTGGGCTACTTCTACGTACCAGGAGTTTCCTTACAACAATCCTTGGAGTTCATTAGTTAAACCATCTGCTGTACATAGCTCTCAGCAGGTCAGTTGGCTTCCTGTCGTAAAAGCACTTTTCCATGTAGTTAGTGATGACGC